CCTTGCTCTGTTCTGATGACTGCCTCTTGGTCCAAGTATAGGTTTCGCATTAGAACGATCAAGTGTTCTGGGATTCCCATTCTTCTCAGAGCCAGCCACAGTTTGTCATGATCCACACAGTCAAATGACTTTGCATAGTCAATGAAACACAGATAGACATTCCTCTGGTATTCTCTGCTTTCAGCTAAGACCCATCCAATATCAGCTACAATATCCCTAGTACCATGACCCCTTCTAAACCCAGCCTGGACTTCTGGTAGTTCTCTGTTGATGTACTGTTCCAGTCATTTTTGGATAATCTTTAGTAGAATCTTGCTGCATGTGAAATCTATGATATTGTTCTGTAGTTTCCACACTCAGTTGGGTCACCCTTCTTTGGGATGGGAACAAATATCGATCTCTTCCAGTCAGTTGGCCATGTGGTTGTTCTCCAGATTTGTTGGCACAACTTGGTGAGCACATCCAGGGCAGCATCTGTTAGCTGAAATATGTCAGTTGGTATACCGTCTATTCAGGGGGCCTTATTTTTTCTTATTTCCTTCAAAGCAGCTTGAACTTCTTCCTTCATCACCATAGGCTCTTACTCAAATGTTATTCCATTAAATTCTTCTGTATCTGCCAATTCCTTTCGATACAATGACTCAGTATATTCCTTCCATTTTCTTTTAATACCTCCTGGATTATTTAACATTCTGCCGAAAGCATCCTTGATTATGGCAACTCGAGGTTTGAATTTGTTCTTCAGTTCCTTGAGCTTAAGACATGCTGAACGAGTTCTGCCCTTTTGATTTTCTGACTCTAGCTCCTTGCACATTTCATTGTAATATTTTGCTTTGTTATTCCGTGCTGCCTTTTGGAATCTTCTGTTCAGCTCTTTAGTGTCTTGAATTCTTCCTTGTGCTTTGGCTTCTCTATGTTCTAGTGCAATCTTCAGAGTTTCTTCTGACATCCATTTTGGTCTTTTCTTCTTCTTCTTCTGTCTTTGTAGTGACCGTTTGCACTCTTCCTGAGTGATAAATTTAACATGCTCCTACAACTCATCTGGTATTCGCTCATTAGGTGATATTACAGGGTTCAAAATCAAGAAGGGGGTCCGTCAGGGATGTATTTTGTCTCCATAACTGTTCAATCTGTATGCAGAACAAAACTTCTGAGACTCTGGGCTGTAACAAAGAGGAATGTGGCATCAGGATTGGTGGAGCAATCAACAACCTGTGTTATGCAGATGACACAACCCTACTTGCTAAAGCTGAGGAGGGTCTGAAGCGCTTGCTGCAGAAGGTCAAGGACTGCAGTCTTCAATATGAATTTAAGCTCAACATCAAGAAAACAAAGATTCTCACCACTGGACCAATTGGAAGCATCAGTATGGATGATGAAGAGATTGAGATAATTAACAGTTTAAGTTTACTTGGTTCCACATTCAACACTCTTGGCACCAGCAGCCAGGAAATCAGGAGATGAATTGTATTGGTCAAGTCAGCTGTAAGGGACCTCTCAAGAGTACTGATCGTGGCCATGGTCTTTGCAATTGCGTGCTATGCGTAGGAGATCTATCTATCTATCTATCTATCTATCTATCTATCTATCTACCTACCTACCTATCATCTACCTACCTACCTACCTACCTACCTACCTATCATCTGTCTATCCAATGTGTTGAGAACTTTTTCTTGATT